GTGTTCACTAAGTGGGATAGAATAATGCATAATAAAAAGATGTTAATTTGGAAGGAGTTTTCTATTAAAGAAGTTATTTTCTAATAGTAATTTTTATTGGTATTTAGTATTTTTTATGTATATAGTCTATTTATTTTGATTTTAAGTTATTTAGGAACCTGGGCTATTTAGGTAGATTTGTTTTTTCTTTTTTTTTTTTTTGAGCAAGGGCTATTTAGGTAGAGAAATTTTAAGTTAAGGAAGCTTTTGATTTCTTCTTTAATTATTTTAATATTTTCTTTATTTGTTGGAACTAATTCTCATATAAGGGCTAGTGACTGTAATGAAATAATAGATGATGATTAATATTTCTTTGGTAGGGTTTTATTATTTGTAATTTCTCTATATTTGTTCTTTTGAATTTTATTCTGTCTAAACTATTCAGTTCAATCTAATTCTCTCTAAATTTCTTCACCTTGGTTTCTAATTTGTTGTGGTCAATCTCTATTCTTCTATTTCTTTCCTAGAGTTTCTCTACTTCTAAACTATCCTAGGACAAATTAGTTTTTAGGTGCATTATCCTGCATGAATTCCCCTGTATAACAATGGCTTTAAACTCATCCTTAATCCAAAGTTCAATCCTATTTTTCAGATGCTGATGCTTCTTGGCAACTCTAAAACTATGAAAACTGTCCAACTAAATCCTGCTCCTCCAGTTCCAACTATCTTCCTGATTCAAGCACTTATTTATAAATCTAAAGGGCCACAAGCCCAACCTAGTACCGGCCCCTTTGGGGCAAAGAAAAAAAATGATAAGAAGTGATTTCGGGTAAAAGTTTGTGGATGAAAACCTGGACCTTCATCTGCCCTTCCACAGCTAAGAGCCCTAAGGTTTGCTGACTTAGAGATAGAAGCCACTTTTGAATCATTGATGCATGTCATGATTTGATTCATAATTCCTCCAGGATCTGGATCAAATCTTTATAGCCCACTTGCCATGGTAATTATCTATAAGAGGAAAACAGTACAATTTTTGCAAAGAGTGGTTAAGACCAAAATGAATCTCCCTGTAGGTAAGTACAATTGAACTTCCTTTTCACAAGAGATATCCCTCAACATTCTGTCCCTGTCATCAGGACACTCCCCTATTTTCTCTCTTTGATTTTCTCGCAATTGACCATCTTTAGCTGTCTACTGGGCATCTTTTATGCTCAATGGGCCATTGACTTTCTCTACGACGTTCTTTATCCCTTCCACCCTTCTTGAGTATTCATAAAAGGACAGTTTAATTTTGACCTAATCTTCATGTGCCTCTTTTGATGATAAAGGTGTAAGGACATGATTTAGATTATCCTTTCGTATTGAATATTGATTGGTGCGGCCTTATTACCTATCTATCAAATTGCCAAGGTCTTCCAATTTCTTCATGGGCTTGAAGAAATCAATGTTATACTTCAGCTGGGGCTTCCTTTCGGGCTTTTTACTGGGCTTATTATTATGAGACATTGTTTGTACTATAATTGTTCTTCTTTTCAGGGAGATATTTGTGTAATTCGTAACCAATGCCATAACTATCTGAAGGAGCGGAAAAAGAAAGTAGAAGGGTTGGGTATGCGTTAGGTTTTGATATGCTGTGGAGATTCACGTAGTGCATTTGTTGCATTGACCTGATGTTATTTGACATGTCGATGTGTTGCTCATGCAAAAGTGATATCTGCCATTTCTCCTTTTTAGTTATGAAGATAAAGGTGTCTCTTTATCTCTTGAAAGTGAGTTATGCTTGGTGATAGGTCTATGGTCTGCCATAGGGGGTAAAAGCTCATATAGATTCAGTCTCAATTTTTGCAGGGAATGATGACGTTTTGTGACCATTAGTAATTGTGAGCCACAAAAAAATTTCACATACTCTGCTGATGATTTGCATGGATTGGAGGGAATCAGTTTGAAGTGTGATAACATCAGTGGATCTATTCTTTATTAGGTTGCTGAAAGCACAGGGCAGGTGTCAAGATTATTGTGGGTTGATGTTGAATTGCTGGCTATCCGGATATTGGATGGTTATTTTTTTTTCTGGCATTAACTATGAGGAAGCTGATAGTGAGGCCAACTCAAGCTACTGGATCTGAAGCATCCTATGTAGGCTTAATTACTCTTAAGAGTTTTCCAAGCATGTTGACAAGTGTTGTATTAATTAATTTTAATGGTAGTCGTAATTCATTAGAATTTAATTTCTTTGCTGTCCTAACCACTTCTGAGTTTTGCTGTTGTTTTACCCACCAATCACACTAAGGAACAGTTACATTGAAGAAAATTCTTTTAGATATATACAAATCTGTTCAATTCAAAACCCTTGTTTCTCTTGGTTTATCTGTTATTTTCTATCTCTGATTCCCATCCACTTGCCAGTTCCTGTACTTGTTTGATTCTGCATGCTCTTTCTGGTGATTATGTCGACATCCTTTTAATGTACCTTATTTAATATGATGACGGGCTTTTGTTATCCATGTCTTTGGAGTTGCTAATGTTGCCTCTTTCTCTTATATGCCAACTTATTATAACTTTATGTGAGAGTTCCTTTTCAAAGTTTTAAAAAAAAAGTCTGTATGTAAGAGTTGAAACTAATTTCAGGTTGCAGATGAACTTGTAGCTGAATTTGCAGATCCTGGTAGTAGTGGAACATCGCCTGATCAGGTTTGCTATTCTTCAACGGGCTATATAAATGTGTTTGCATATACATACAGATATATATGTGTATATGTTACATATATACATCATGCACTTATTTTGCTTCAACCAATGCTCAAATGGGAGAACATTTGACTTAATTATGTTATGTTATTTTTAAACTTATTCAACAGCAACAATATGATGAGAAAAACATACGAAGAAGAGTATACGATGCCCTAAATGTGCTCATGGCGATGGATATTATATCCAAAGATAAAAAGGAAATACAGTGGAAGGGTCTACCTCGTACTAGCCTGAGTGATATTGAAGAATTAAAGGTGTGAATTGCTCTTGTTGATCAGTGCTCTGAATCTACATGAGCTTATCTTAATTCCTATTCATATGCAGGCTGAGCGGCTTGGGCTGAGAAACAAGATTGAAAAGAAAGCTGCCTATCTACAGGAGCTGGAAGACCAAGTAAGAACCGTCATTCATGTTATTTTTTCTGATTCTTGTTTTATTTACTTACATGAGCTTATTAGGTGGACTTTTCTTTTAAAACTGACATGTTTCATACTCATCCCTGGTATAATTAATTCTTTTCTGCTTTCATAAAGTACATAGGTCTTCAAAACCTGATACAGCGAAATGAGCAGTTGTACAGCTCTGAAAATGCTCCAAGTGGGGGTGTGGCTTTACCATTTATTCTGGTGCAGGTAAATTTTCTAATCTATTCCTTTTATTTATGTATATGAAGTAGTGTTTAAGATTACCAATAAGATTCCTATATTATGAGTGTTTCTGAATTTCTGCTCCAACTTAATCAAATTTTAATTTCATATTTAAGTTGCGGACATTATTTGGTGGTCTGCTGGCTTATAAAGAAGTACTTGAGACATTGACGAAATAAATGAGGAAACAGTGTTACCAGAAATCTATTGTGTGATTTGACTATTAGACACTGTCTGCTGGACTGGCCCAAGCTTCTTCTTAATGTCTACAGAGATCTAATGAACCTTGTTATATTCCATCAGTTGATCTCTGTAATTTTCCAACCTCATGAATTCCAAACCTTGACCAGAGAACTTCAGTTTGATTCTGATTGTTTTCCATTCTGTTTGTTTTCCATTCTACATGTAATATTCATGTGGTGAAGAAACAACCATGAATGATATTTTTCCACAACTTTACTAGTGTATGATCAGCTTTACTTTTACCCTCTTCTGGTCATACTAAACCAAAATTTCTAAGAAAAGTTCATGGGACTGCTACTTATACAACCTAAGGTTTCTCAAGATCTTTTCTGTAGTGACTTTCATGTCTTTTTGTTCTTTCTTTTCTGCCTGAACGCTTGCTGTGCTGTGTAGTCTCTTCTGTATGAAGATTTTCGCGGTTGCTTTTGGAGGGTTGGAATTATGGGACCACATTCTGTGCTAAGATTTTCCTAGTTGGTTTTGGAGGCTCAAAGTTATGGGAGCATGATTTCTCTTGTTTCCATATTCTCTTTGCTATTTGTAATTTAGTGCAGTAGTTAATGTCAAAAACTATAGCCACCTTCATCTTTCTGATATGCTATTATTTGTTGTTTATTTTCATATTTAATTTCTTATTGTGAGTCTCATTGTTGTAATCATTTTGACAGTCCTTTCTGTTTGTTCGTACCAGCAACCTTGTGCTCTTTCTTTCCTTAGAGGAAAGAACACAATGGTGCACCGAAAGGATTAGTAAATTATTAAAAACAATGAGTTTAAACAACTCGTCTCTTTCTCTCTCTCTCGCTCTCTACACACACAAAGCACACATCATGGTGCCTTACTGTATTAAGGGGATAGTGATGCAAGAGATTGTGTCATAGGAAGCCTGATTTTTCAAATTTGATCAGTAATAAATAAAGAAAATTGCACGTTGGATGTTGTTTGTCTCCTTCGGTGATAAGAGTTAAAATGTGATTTTCTTTTCCTTCTTGAGGAAAGAGTTATAATGTGATTGTGCATTGTTGACTTTCTGAAAATGTACCATCATGTTTCAACTTTTCCAGATTTCAAATCTGGGACCATTCTTAGAGAATTTGTACAAGCATCATTTTGAAATAAAACAAGATTGGAAATTCCCTGTTTCTCTTGAGGGC